TGGTGATCCGAGTACCAAAGGTATATGCTTAGAGTGTTTCTGAAATGCAAACAATAGGCGCCCAATAAATACAGATCTCTCTACAAGTACAGTGGGTGGGGGCACCAACTCATTTTTGAAGTGATTCTTACTATCCATGTTAGTATTCAGTAGATCTAACTCATTCTTGAGCTCCACTAATATCGTTGACATGCTTTCATAGCATTTACTCTGTAAATATGGTGCAAGATCCTTCAGCCTCAAGGAAGCATTTGGTGACTCCAGGAAGCTCAAGAGGTCTTTAAGTACAGCTTCACAGCAGCTGTCAACTGCATCTCTGATGCGGCTAACTTCAGTTCCAAAGTAAGCATTGAGGCTGTTATGAAAACCATCTTCATCTGCCTGTAGTGGTTTAGACGCATGGAGGGAGCTGATCCTTTTGACATTTGGATCAATGAACCATACCCCACCACTATCTGGTGATCTATTCAAGTAAGCTTGAAAATTGGTTTGATCTCCCGGAGTTCCCACGATAGACCGAACCGACTCAATTACATTAACAACTCTGCTCAAGTCATCAAATCCTTTTTCAATAATTGATTTCATTCTCTGCACAAATGCTTCTTCAAATATTTCATCCCAAAGATCAGACTCACCACCCAGCACAAGCTCATGTGTTCTTTTCCAAGGAAGCTCAATCTCAGAGCCAAAAACACTCTTAAGCCACTCCAGACTCCCTTCTAAAACTAGTTTACTATCCATAGTCTCTCGTATCGATTTTTCAGCCACAGCAAGATCTTGTCCACTATCAATAACGTCAATCAAGTGCCTATTGTTTACCATGTTCATGATCTCTTTACCACAGTTTCTCAACCACTCAGAACACACTGCTGAAATATAACCCTTATCCAACAGTACCATCTTCAACTCCAACTCAGACCTAGATAAGTTCCATAACCTCACTTCCTCATCAGGGTTCGGTATCCCTCCAAAGAACTGGGAAGCGGGAGGTGATCCTAGTATCATTTTGTAAAATAAAGGCAAATCATTCAACACTTGCAAGAATAACTCTCCTACTTGTCCTATAGTAACCTGAATTACCTTTATCGCTTGGCAGTAAACAGAAATCACATCAGAAGTAGTGGCATTGACATTTGAACAACAGCCCGCTAGCTTTTGAGAGATACACAATTTGCGCCTTTCAAGAAATAAAGTAAGAACCTGCTTGGGATCAAGGTCGTCTATTACAGCTACTGCAGCCAGAGCATCACCATAGGCCTCAATGCCAAGCTCAATGGTTAGATCCAATAACCTATCACAACTCCTCTGCGAGATCTGAGCCTTGAAAGTCTCCACCATTTGCCATTGGTGTTGAAGCAGAGGGAAAGTTGACAGGACATTCTTGTTCTCCTTGTTAGTAGTCAAGCTACTGTGAACAAGCTTCGCTCGAATGTATCGAGCAGATGACTCAAGAAACATGGATTCGTCGAGGCAGCCCCAGATGTTCTCCGGTGTGTCCACCAGGTACTTGACTCGACAAGCAATGCCGTAAATTCGAGCCTTTGTATGGTCAACTGACTTCGGTGAATTGGACGCCGTAGCAGAGGAGAGCGAGTGCAGAATGCCGTCGTATATAGCGGATATGTTTGCGGATATGGACTCACACGAGGCTTTCATCAACACTATCGAGTCGGCAGAATCAATAAGATCGCGGTAGCGGTTACCGACGAGCTGCCGGAGCTCTTCGCTCTTGTCCTGGATCTGCCTCCGCGTGGCGATTTCCACATTCCGAATTTCGGCAATAGGCTTCGTGCGAAAGAGCAATTCAGCGTCTTGCTGGTGGCTTCTCAATCCGCCACCTGCACCACCGGATGGAGATGGTGGCGGCGGCGCCGATCCTACACTCATAACTGCCGGAAGATATTTGATTAACGTGATGAAGTCTCAGCTGTTACATGTCTCCGGTGCAGATCCTCTCCTGATAAAGAGAGTGGCATGCCTATGGAGGAATTAGGACGAGTCAGCTGGATGTGCAATTGACTGTTATTTCACCTGTGACCGGTTCACCAAAACTATACCGTAACAGGGTTCGGTTCAATTCGGGTCTAGTTCTATAGTTTAGGTTAGTAAAATAAGTAAAGTAAACATGCAAGTTTCTAAAAAAATCGCTTACTAACCGAAAGATGTGTTTAAAATGTCGCTTATTAAAAATACCCCATGTATTAATTAACCGGCACTTTAAGCTTTTTCACTTTCCGAATTTACCCTTACTATTACTCGCCCTTACCATATTGTTACCCTCTACCCCACCCCCTACCCCCTAACCCTACCTTATCGTGACCCACCCACCCCGAATCCAGCCCGTTCTTGACCCCACCCCCTTTTACATCTACCCTAACCTTACCCCCACTTGTACCCCTTACCTCGACCATTCCCTTTTACCCCCTACCACCTGCCCTTACCTCGACTCCGACCCCGACCCCACCCCAATACCTCCCTTCTGACCATACCTTACCCTACCTCTTTACCCCCTACCACCTACCCCTACCTCACCCCCACCCTGACCCGACCATACCCCTTACCCTACCTCCCTACCCTTACCCTACCACTTGCCCTAACCCCACCTCGTACCCTACCCCTAGCCGTTACCACCCCTACTCCTTACCCAACCCTCCCCCTACCACCTTCCCCTACCTCAACACCCACCCTGACCCTAGACCCATCTTATCCCTAACCCTACTCGTGCTCCTACCCCTACCCCTACCCCCCTTGTACCCCTTACCTCGACCTTGCCCTTTTACCCCCTACCACCTCCTCCTACCTTGACCCCGACCCTGACCCCTACCCCACCCTAGTACCCCATTCTGGCCATACCTTACCCTACCCCTTTACCCCCTACCACCTACCCCTACCTCGACCCCACCCTGATCCGACCATACCCATTACCCTACCTCGGCCCTACCCCCTACCACCTACCCTAACCCCCACCTCGTACCCTACCCCTACCTTACCTAAGGGTGGTGGGGTAGGGGTATGGGTACGCGTACGAGGTGACTCCCACGTATTATATTATATACTTGTGTTCATGTATGTTTCTATGTCTATGTATGTATAAGGTTATTTTGGAAATTGTAATGTTAAACAGTGTTTTAAATCCTTTGAAGTAAACATGAGCTTACAACACCGCTTATTTTAAATGCCGCTTATTAACGCGGGTCTTAATAAGCACCGTTTAGTAACCTGTGAATTAAACGTGTCCTGAAACTATTTTCTTGGTCTAATCTCAATGTTTTTTATCTGAATTTTTTAAAATCCGGTTATATCTGACTCTTTCTTATTTGATCTGAATTTTTCTGATCTGATCTGAATCTTTCTAATCGATCTGAATCTTTACTAATCCGATCTAATCGAGTATTTATTATTATTGTTGTTGTCGGTGTTGTTGTTGTTATTGTTGTTGTTGTTGTTGTTGTTATTGTTATTGTTATTTATTATTATTATTATTATTATGTTTGTTGTTGTTATCATTAGTTTTTACATGTAATTAGAATTATAATTATAACTATAACTGTAATTACAATTATAGGTATAATTATATTTATAAATATAGCTATAATTATAATTTTAATTATAGGTATAATATGATTGTTATTATAGTACTAATTATAGTTATTTCGGTAATTATAAATGTATTCATAATTATATTAATTATAGTTGTAGTAAAATTAATAATAAAAGTGATAAATCATATCTGAACTTTTCTGATCTGATCTGAATATTTCTGGTCTGATCTGAATTTTTCTGATCTAATCCGAATGTTTCTGATCAGATCTGATCTGAATCTTTCTGATTTGATTTGATCTGAATATTTTTATCTGATCTGATCTAAATAAAATAAAAACAGGCAATAAGTAACAAGAATAAGATGATCCGAACAGATTCTTAGTTCAAAATTCTTCTTCTTTTAAAAGGTTGAATCCCCGTTGGGGATGACAACGGGGCGGATCGGATACGATTTTACATATAATCATACCCGCCTCGTTGGATAATTCCCCCGCCCCGTAACCGCCCCATAACCCAACGGGTAATTTTTATCCAAACCGTAACTGCCCCAACGGGTAACTGGTATAACCGCGGGTAATCGCGGGTAATCGCTTTATTAAATGTGTCATTAATGTTTTAATACATAAAAAATATTTTAAAAGGTGAAAAAATAGCATCACCCGGATGATTCAAGACTCTGACGCCACATTAAAGTTTCGTATATCGACAAAAAGAGAAAGTAGGCAACCTAAATTAATTTATAGGTAGTGTGTCATAGATCATTCTCAATCACATAAATATCTATTCATAACCTTGAATGATAGTTAAGAAATATGCAACAATAAATCATCATAAACTCAATAAGCAGAATGAATTTAGTCATCCATCAAACTTCCAGCATCACATTTATGAACTATCTCTCTCTCAATTCACTTAACATATAACCATTTTTAATCATCACAACAATGTAAATATGTTAATCTCATGGCTAATTAACTAGTCATAAGCATATAAGGAACCCAAATCATCACCTCAAAGATTGTACTTGATTCTACTTTCCCATAGCTTGACCAACTTCGGTCAATTTCACTCCAAGATGTAAGGTAAAATCCGAGAGCCTTTTGGGGTCTCCAAAAGTCGGGAGGCTTTTGGGGCTGTACGCGCCCCTTCAACCAAACTTGATTTATATGTAGTGTTCAAAATATATCTTATTATTTAATGGATGCATAACCCAAGTACAAACAGCAGTGACGTTACAAGTTACACAATAACTACTCAGAGAAAAAAAAATTGAGAAAGTAAAAAAAAATGTAATGAGCTCAGTCACAGTATTCTCTTGTATTATTACCAAATTTTACTGAGCAATTATGGGGCAATATCAATTGAGGCTTGATGAAATTTTCTTCTTACCCTTTTATGTGAATGAATCTCTCTCCACAATGACCAAGAAAAACACCAAACTTTGCACTACCAAGACACTCATAGTAAATCTAATTTGAATTTCTTACATATTAAACAGAGTATTATACACGGAAATCCTCAATGAATTAAATACTCCACCTGCTAGCTATGGTATCAACCACCACTCCCCTCCCGGTAATAAATTTTGTTTTCACTGTACCTCATGAATGCCCGCTCTTCCCCACAAAAGACAAACAATAAACTATGCATAACTACTTAGTAAGTAAAGTTTAAAAGCAATAAGAAGAACTCGCAAGAAAAACTCATGGCTACATAAACATGTACATAAATAATGAAATTTTATCATGTCTTGGTGTTGAAAACATAACTTGTGAATGCACTTGTAACATCCCTGCATAGATATAATTAAATCAAGCTAAGCGCATAAGCAGGGGTTATAAGTCACTATTATGAGATAGAAACATAAATAGAAATTAGATATAAAAGTATCATTTAACTCAAATAGGCCAATCATATCTAAAAATACACACATACAAACATACACACATAGAGAGAAATATTTGAAGTTTAAGTGTAAACATTAAACTAGTGTTATATGGTGGGTAAAGATTTTGATTTGGTATGATACTTTTTTTATGTAATTTGATTTGATTTGAATATTTCAGGATTGGTCTAAATAAAATAAGAATAATTATGAAGAAGAGAATAAAACCTAAGCCTCCTTATATAAGAGTGATAACTAAGTAACGAATGTAGGGGCTAAGAACTTATTAGTGCATTTGGCTATCGAAATTTACTCTCTCCGTCTCATTTTGGTTGTCTTACTTTCCGTTTTAGGTGTCCAAAATGAACGTTATGTTTCCTTTTTGTTAAGAAATATGTGGTCCATATCATTTCACTTTATTTTATTTAAACTTCAACCACAACTTTTACTTTTCAAACACTTTATCAATACATGTGCCAAACTAAAATAAGACATTCAATATGAGATGATGTAGTAACAAAGGATTGATAACGGGCATGTAAAGCAAAAAAAAGATATGTACTTGAGATAAGGAAGAGTCATGTTCTTCAATAGAGAAGGGTGACGAATTACAAAGCTCTTCCATTCCTCCTTATCAATTCTACCATCCATGTCAACATCCATATCTACAAATGTCTGTGAGCCGCACATCACACATGCATAAATACACACAGACACATATATTTTGGATCAAATAAAAAGTCTTATTCACATGAATAGTAAGAATGAATTTGGCGCATTGGATCTAAGATATAATGACTTTGAATTAAATATGTCAAAAATACATTAAAGTGGATTAAAAACGGTGACATTTGTTGTAAATAAATCAAAGTCTTACTTATGTGTAAAAAGTTGACTTCATGTGTGTAATAGTGTAATGTAAATGATTTTAAATTGAATGACGGAAAACTTCTCAATGCAACACTGCACCTCAAATGCTAAAAAGTGGAATGGTTCACACTTTGTATGCGAAGACTACATTTTATTGGAACCAGACCATATATAAGTACATTGAAAGACCGAAAAAAGTTGCAATTATAAACTGGTTCATGGAAAATTCAATTCAAAAGTAGCAATTTACATGAGTTTCATCTCCTCCAAATGACCAAGTTTGATTATTAACTAAATAATATTGATATATATATAGTATAAATCTTTATATTATATAAGTTCATATTATCATTTCTTTTATTTATCTATATTATGCACACACATTACTTATGATGATGCATTCCCGCCTGTAACATAACAAACTTCGAAGTAGTTGCAAATAAATTTTTCTTATCTTCGTCCCATCTTAATTTTTTGTTCATCCCATTTAGAGGTCTTTTCCATCATTTGCGATGGATTCAAAGACTCACTATTTTTGGATTGAGAATATGATGGAATAACGCAAAGTGGTTCAATAAACAGTCTACATTTCTTTGTTAAGAAGCAACAATAAGTCCATGCAATTTTTTACTACGTACATCCGACCTCCTTACCTCATCGTAGGTGTGAGCCTTTGCGGCACTAGGGTAATGGTGATGATGATCCCATTAAGATGGTCTCATACCATATTTGATAATATTTGGATGATTAAAATTCATTCTTACTTTATTCACACTTTACCAATACAGTAACAATTTCAAAATTCCAATCTTAGGGGGAAAGTCAGTCACACGTACGGAGTAATATATAGAACACCCTACCTTGTCAACAATTTCCTCCACAAGATCATCCGATAGTTTTGTCCCAGATTCCAGGAGAATTGCAATCACCATCTCCTTAACCTACACGAAGAAAGAGATTTTCTCTGTTTTAAAAATAAGGTTATTGTGACTTTTTTTTTTGAAAATAACTTTTCAAATGTAAATATAATCTTTTCGGTATTGCGGGTTAATGGAGATATTAATTGTACACTTTTTTTTAAATGATCTTACGTACACTTTGAATTAAGTAATATGTTAAGACTCACTTCTTCACGTTCAATGAAGCCGGTTTGCCTGAGGTCGTAAATCCTAAATGCAACTGCAAATTTCACAAGCTATTAGTGAGAAAACAATCACACGAAGTTCTTTCTAACTTAGAAAAATATTGCTTTTTGATGGTTTCTTACACTCGATTTTCTCTTCAATTGGTGCATTGGGATGAAACACGTTTAAAGCATGGATGAATTCCTCAAAATCAACAATTCCATTCCTCTTCTCGTCAAACACATCAAATACCTGGATTTTATATAATGGCTAACAATTGATATTTGGCAAGAGGATTCTTGTCTTATTAGGCTAAAACATTTAGGGGTATTTGGCAATTGGTTGTTGACTGTTGACTAGCAATTTGTGTTAGCTGATAGATGACAGCTGATTGAGTTGACAGATAGTATTAGCGGATTGTAAATTAACGTTTGGTTACATGACTGCTTAAAGTTAGCTGATGATTTGTAAATTGATTTTTAAGGACATAATTTTTTTTGTGCATCACACGTTATATTTTAACATACTCCGTATAATATTTAAAATTGTAGTTATTGTTAAGGATTTTTTTGCATACATTGTTATACACTTATTGTTGAGATTTGGAGGAATAAAAGACAATTTTATTAATATAAAATATTGAGTACAAAGATGGGGAGTCTCTCTTACTCTCACTCTTGAGGATGCTTCACTCTTTTGGTGGTGATGGAGTTGTCTCCATCCACCTCTATTTATACTAGGCTAAGGAGGTGGGAGTGTTTCTAGAACCTCCCACATTAATTACATTCTAGAGTCTTCTCACATTAAATAAATTCTAGAATATTTCTTTCTAACTCTTATTTAATACTCTATCTAGAGAATTCTACACATCTTTGAGTACTTAATGAAGAAGAATATCGAAGATTCTAGACAGTCGTCTACTTTTCAACACTCCCCCTCAACGACTGCTCTAACGTATTGTAGATCTTGCAACCATGCCAAGTTGATCCCTCAAGGTCTCGAACAGCGTAGTGTTTAGTCCTTTAGTGAACAAATCAGCAATTTGATTTTCGGTCATGATGTATTTCATCTCAATATCTCCTTTAAGGACCTTTTCTCGTATGAAGTGATAATGAACCTCCACATGTTTTGTCCTAGCATGAAATATTGGGTTCTCCGCAAGTCGTATTGCTGATTGGTTATCACAATGTAATGTTATTGGATCACCAGTTGGTTGATGAAGATCCTTTAGAAGTTGCATCAACCATGCACTTTCTTGAGCTGCCATTGTTGCTGCTCTATATTCTACTTATGTAGTTGATAATGACATTGTTGGTTGTCTTTTGCTAAGACTAAGACTAAATGTGTAACCAGTAGTAGAGCGACGTGTATCATGATCTCCAGCATAATCAGCATCACAATGGCCTACCACTTCAAATGATGCATCTCTTTTATAAAATATGCCAAAATCCAAAGTTCCTTTTACGTACCTCATTATGCGAAGTATTGGGGTGTTTTCTTAGAAAACGGGAATTGTCAACAAGTGCTGCAAAAATACGGGAATTTGGTTAGGTTTCTAAGATTGAGGGATTCAGAAAGAGGGTTTCCGAATGCGATGATTGAGTGGGCTGGGAGGGGGTAGGTTGGGTGGGAAGGGAGGGGGTTGGCAAACATGTGAAATCCAATTTTTTTATTAAGTTTTATATATTTTTTTATTTTTACTCCAAAATTTACCTAAAATATATTGAAATTCATAATTTTTAATGATCTTTCTAATGACACCAATATCCCATATATAAAATTTAATTTATTTTTTGAAGTTTTCAACCATACTGTCGAAAGTTCATTTTTTTTAAATTTTTATATGCAATATTGCCATATTGGTGTCATATGAAAGATTATAAAAAGTTATGAATTTTCATATATTTTTTATAAAAAATGGAATACAAATAAAAAAGTTAAATCACATAATAAAAAAATGGGGTTTTATATTTTACCCAACCCCACCCATTTCCCCTACCCATGTGCCCCAACCGTGTTCTCTTTTGCATTCGGAACATGGAATTCTGATTCCCATCTTTTCGTCCAATTATCTCAAGTCCCGTATTTTGGCGTGGCTTACAAAAAAATTCCGTGTTTTGAGAATTTCCTCACCGTATCGCATCTAAATGAGGCTTCCTTGGCTTCTCCATGAACCGACTCACTACTCCCACTGTGAACATGATATCCGGCCTTGTGAGTGTTAAGTAGATAAGACTTCCAACGAGTTGTCTGCACATGATGGAGTCCTCCTATTCTCGGCCTTCAACTGCGCACATCTTCACATTTGGCTCTATAGGAGTTGATATCGGTTTGCAATCAAGCATCCCAAACTTTTCAAGTATGTCTTTTGCATACTTGTGTTGGCACAAGAATATTCTTTCTTTAGTTCGTTGTACCTCGAGGCCCAAAAAGTGTTGCAGTTCTCCAAGTTCTTTCATTTGGAACCTCACTGATAAATTACCTCGTATTTCATTGATCTCCTTCTCATGATTCCCGGTGATGATTAGATCATCCACATATATCAATATGACCGATATTTTCCCACCTGTATATTCCACAAACAGGCTTGAATGAGAAGGAGCAATTGAGTAACCACTTTGTACCAAGAATTCATCTATCTTCCCATACCACGCTTGTTGTGCCTGTTTCAATCCGTATAATGCTTTCTTGAGTTTACACACAAACTCTGGATGTGATTTGCTTATAAACCCCTCGGGTTTCTCCATGTAGATGCTTCGATCTAGCTCTTGATATGCACTAATTAGTAGTGCATAAATGTATATTTTTATGATTGGTTTGTGTGTATTGTTTATCGTTTTATTTAGTTTGTAAACATTTGTGTGAATTTAGTTGTAATTGTATTTTAATCTTCATTTATAAGTTGTAAAGTAGAATTAGGAATTATGGTGTTGAAAAGGAGGACTTTGAAGTGAAGAAAAAGGAGATTAGACTATCTAGGAGCTGAAACCCGACCGGGTAGAAGACTTCACCCGATCGGGTCTAATTTAACAAACGAAATTTCTTGGAAAATCACTAGATCCGGTCGGGCCCACTACCTCACCCGGTCGGGTGAGAAGTGACCAGGGACAATCCGGCGTGCGAAGATCACCAGAACGTGGCAAATATTTGATTTTGACTGATACCCGGTCGGGTATGACACTTTACCCAGTCGGATATCCACCCCAGGGTGTTGAAAACACCTATAAATAGCACACTTTTCCTTCACTTTTAACCATCCCTTCTTCTATACTCCTAAGCTCAGTTTAGAATAGCATTTCTTATATTTTTATAGCATGTTTAGTCTCCAAATGAGGAGCTAAACTTCCATATCTTGGTTTTGCTACTTTGAAGCTTAATGAATTTGTAAGTTGTGAGTTATTTTCTTTAATCTTCTTTCTTGAATATTAATTCTTCCTTTAAAATACTATTTCTATATCAAAGTTGGGGAGTGTTACTAAGATGACAATTAGTTAACATCTTGACATTGGTTATAGTAATAGTTATTTCTTCCTCTATGTTAATATTAGGGAGTGTTACTAAGATGACAATTAGTTAACATCTTGATATTAACTATAGTAGGATTCATATTCTTTAATATTCTTCCTTGAGTATTAATTAATTCCTATTCATATTTCACGTTAATATTTTGAACATTACTTAAAGGATTAACTAGTTTTGTTTCATATATTAATTATTACTAGAATCAATCGATTAATACGCTTGTTATTAATTCGGTTCCTTCAATAGTAGTAAACTTGGATTGTTAATGCATGCATCTCATGGTTAATAAACCAAGGGGAATTAATTATATTGATTAAACCAATAAACCGCTTGTGTTGAGGTTATCAATCTCAATCGTTTTCATCTTAAGCTTATTTCTACTATCGAATTAATATACGACGCTTGTTCTATATTGACTCAATAGTAAGTTTTATTAATGAACGCATCTAGTTATTAATAACTACCCTCGATGAACTGGATATACTCCTCGATTGAGTATTCGAGAGGAAGATAGTTAAAGATATAACCGGGATCGACGAACATTTCATTAAGTGGATAAAAGCAAAACCAAGTCCGCATCTCTATTATTTAAACTCATATAAGTTGTTCATCTTAGTGTTAATTAAATTAAATTAAATCAAACTCAAAACCCCCCCTTTTTCGTTACTGTTATTATAAAAGATAAATATTTCTTTCCTTGTGGATACGAACCTTACTTCGTTATACTACGTATATTTGTTGTATTGTATTTATTTTGAGTGCACCCCAAGATAAGTGCACGTCAGCTCTCCATGTAAGAAAGCATTCTTGAATTCCATTTGCCACAATTTCCAAGATTGTCTTACTGCTAGTGTTAGCGAGACTCGTACAGTAGTGATCTTCGCTACTGGGCTGAACGTCTCATCATAATCAAGGCCATACTTTTGAGAGAAACCTCGAGCGACTAAGCGTGCTTTATATCTTTCAATTGATCCATCTGGCCGAGTTTTCAACTTATAAACCCATTTACAAGTTATTGGACGTACCTCTTTGGGTTTAGGAACTAATTCCCAAGTCTCATTGTCTCTAAGAGCCTTGATCGCCTCTTCCATTGCCTTTTTCCATTCGGGACTTTGTGAGGCGTCTTTGAAAGTAGTTGGTTCTTTTGGTCCATTATCTTCCATTAGTGTCGCATTTGCATACTTTGGGTTTGGCCTCCTTCTTCTTATCGACCTTCGGAGAAACTCATTTGGCTCTTCAAATTCCTCATACTGACTTGGCCTTGCTTCTTCAGTAATCTTATCATGACTTCCTGTTTGTCATGGACCTCTATAAATCTCAGGTTGTTCTTCATTTGATACTTCCACATTTGTGTCACCTTTTTCTTCTTCTCGTTCTTCTAAGACTTCTTCAATTTCTTGTGACTCTGGAAGAACAATTTCTTGAGATGATCACCACGAGGATGCTTCGTCGAATACCACATTTCTTGAAGTGTAGCCTTTTCCAGTTGTGGGATCACAACACTTCCATCCTTTCCTTTGATCATCATAGCCCACTAATATGCAACGAATCGCCTTCTTATCAAACTTGCTACGTAGGTGATCAGGAACAAATACGTAGCATACACAACCAAACACCCTGAAGTGACTTACTGTGGGCTTGAGATTTTGTAATTTCTCGAATGGTGAAATGAATCCAAGCTTTGCTTGTGGCAATCTGTTGATCACATGAGCGGCTGTTTTCATACACTCGGTCCAAAAACATGGTGGTACATTCTTCGAGTGTAGCAAACTTCTTACAGTCTCCGCTAAGTGTCTATTGTTTCTCTCTGCAACTCCGTTTTGTTGAGGTGTACTTGGGCATGAGAATTATCTCCTTATTTTACATTCTTTTAGAAATTTGTTAAATTCTTCAGAAGTGTTTTCTCCCCCGTTATCAGTGCGTAGGCACCTGATATTGTGACCTACTTCTGCCTCAACCTTTTCTTTAAATACCTTGAACTTGTTTAAGGCTTCTGATTTTTCTTTCATAAAATCAACCCAGATAATTCTTGAAAAATCATTTGTAACACTTGAGATTTAATTTAAATGGATTAATAGTATTACTCATACCAACAAGATGCATCTCCTTTTAAGGGAGCTCATCACCAAGAACTCCAAAGTTAAGCGTGCTTGCACGGGAGTAGTCTTGGGATGGGTGACCCCCTGGGAAGTTTCTCAGGGCGCGCACGAGTGAAGACAAAGTGTGCGGAAAAGGCTAGTGGCGGTTTGTGAGGACAGTACTAGAGGTCAGAAGTAACTACCTCGGGGCCTACGGGGCCGGGGTGTTACATCATTGATAAATGTAATCATGTACCGGAAGCCACAAACTGAAGGTTGTTTTACATTCCCGAACACATCTGAGTGTATTAGCTCTAACGGCGCTTTGGCCCTGAACTTTGACTCCTCATATGAGGACTGATGAGCTTTTCCATATTGAGACCCAACACAAACCACATCATCGTGGATTTCTAGTTTGGGGAGACCCTTTAACATTTCCTTCTTCATCATCACCTTTAATTTCTTGTAACTCACATGTCCAAGACGTGCGTGCCACAAGTCCGGTGTCTCATTTCTCCTTGTCTTATCTACATATGCCGTTTGCGCAAACATCACATAGATAGACTCAACATTTCGCCCCTCCATGATTGGTTCCTCATTTTCTTGTAGATGTCGATATACTTTAACATAATCTGGGCCGAACACCACATACTTACTAGATTTTGTGAGTTGTGACACCGATAATAAATTCTTCTTCATACCTGGCACGTGCATGACATCTTGGAGCTCCACTTGTTCAGCATTGAATCGTGGAGTAATCTTTGTTTGGCCAACATGATTGATTGGTAACTTCGAATTGTTTGCAGTGACTACAACTCGTCGTCCTTCATACTTATTGATGTTTTCTAATTTGGTCATATCACCCGTCATGTGATTGGAGCATCCAGAATCTACAATCCAATCATTTTCATAATTTATGAATCTATCACTCACCGTGACAAGAGCCATTTCTTCTTCTTCCTCTTCTTCAATGATGCAAGAAGCTGCAAGTTCTTGATCATCGTCTACTGCATAGGCCGCTTGAAAATCCCATTCTTATTCACTATAGCTCTCCTTTAAAGTTGATGTTGCTGCATTTCCTTCAACCTTTTGAAGTCTACAATCTCTAGCAAAGTGCCCTTTCTTTCCACAATTGTAGCACTGGTTGTTGTTCCGTCGGTACTTCTCTACCTTATTTTTATCATGACAGACTTGATTAGCTCCCCCTCGATGAGAGCTTCCTTGTGGCCTCTTTCGCCAATCCTCGTTATTTGGACTTGTACTTGTTGGTCTTGCGCTTCTTCTATCTCGTTCGAAACTCCTTTTATTGCTATATAAGGCGGCATCATCCTCCTTGATCGAGACTTTAGATATTTGTTTATCTAAAGCCTCTTGGTTGACTAATAGGCTATCCAACTCCGTTAGAGTTGGCTCTTTTGCCCATCCACGCGTAGCAGTGATAATACCATTGAATTCCAGCCTTAACCCATGGATTATGATTCTTCTTTTACTTGTATCGGTGATGGCATTTTGTGGATCTAATTTTGATATTTCATCACAAACTGTTTTGACTTTATTAAAGTATTGACTCACCGACATATCTTGTTGTGAGACCGAGAGAAGATCATTTTCCAACCGTTGGAGCTTCGCGTCATTCGTCCCGGCAAAAAGTGCCGCCAAAGTATCCCATGCCTCCTTCGGAGTTTTTGCATCTTTGATGTGCTGCAACAACTCATCTTCAATTGTTACGGATAGAACATACATGGCCTTTCCCGCTTTTATCTTCCATTTCCTTAATTCCTCCGCATTGGTGGGTGACGATGTGTTGTCATTACTAATGATGTCCCACAAATCTTGTCCAAGCAAATAAAATTGCATACGAACACTCCTAGTGTTGTAGTTGGAAATGTTAAGTTTCTCGACGCCACTTACCCAATTTGAGATATCCATAGTGACTTGAATATATGACAACCAATATTGCAAGCAAGTTTGGGGGCCCTGATTACTCCACGCCCCCAGACCTCCTGGAGTAAAAAAAAGAAGATGACCTAGAGAATAATGGTAGGGAAGAGAAAAAGGGATGGGTAGACTAGGAATATTATAATTGAAATGGAACTGCCAAACCAACACGCTGGGTTTTGTGGCTTTTTCAATTTTGGGTGTTGTTTGAGATAAAAAGCCAATTGAAAAAGCCATTTATCAAACACCCTTATTTATTAGCAGTTGGATTCAGTAAAAAAGCTAAATCATGATCAAAATTGGCTGATAAGCTATCAACCAAACACGCCCTAAACTTCCTGAATTTCCAATTTTCCTTGGAGCAAAAGGATTTAATTAATAACATCCGTCACACCAAATATTTAATTATTATCCTTGTTGGAAGGAAAATAACCAAGAAGTGGCTACCAAATGAAGCCTAGTTAGTTTTAGTTGCTAAATTGGCCAACAATGAACGGTCGATTTACAGAAAGCTCGGATATAAAAAAACGAGAAAATTCCTGAAATAGAACTAAAACAGTTTTAAAATTCCAAAATACGACTATCATATTTTTTATTCCCAAAATAGGAGTAATTACTGCCAAGTTTAGAAAATACTTCCATGTTTGAAGTATGGTACTGGCAAAACATGGCAGTCCTATTTTGGAATTTTCAAACTATTTTAGTCCTATTTCGGGTAATATTCTCTAAAAAATTGACTTTTGCCACTCTTAGCCTTAAGAGTATTAAAGATTTTCTATACTCGCATTAGATTTTTTCACTTTTAATCATTAAACAACTACCGTGGGAAATACGCTTTCGATACCCGTCTTTGAAATTTTTCATATTCGATCCTTCAAGTTTCATAAAATGACATTTTTTATCTTTCTACTATTATCATTTCACAGTTTAGTGACATTTTTCATCTTTCACTTATTGCCTCAAAGTCTAATAGAAAGGAGAGAAAGTTTCAATTTGACAATACTCAAGGGATTAAATGTGTAGAATTTTGAAATAGATAACTAAAACTGTCTCTCGCACAACAATTAAAAGAATGAAAATGAAAAAAAAAAGTCGAGTACATAAAATTTCACATACGCAATAATCACCGGATTTAAAGTGGCAAAAACTCCATAAATTTAGTCATGGAATTGGAGTTTTAATACATTCTTCAAATGAGAATATGATAAAGTGAGGTTGTTAAGATAGCTAGAAAGCAACAAAATGTGACTTTAAGAATGAGATATTATTAGAAGTTGAATAGAAATAAGAATTACTTGAGAGTCAAGATAGTACTTTCGCAACTCAGTTTTGCAAAAGCAGGATCATGAGTAAAATCTTATTGAGATTTGAGAGGTCTATAGCTTTAGAAACGTTCATCAGTAAAATTAGTTCGGGGGTAGAAAAAGGTAAACAAACGGGTTCTTAAATTTCAATAGCACAATTAGATATCCCTTTTTCCAATACCGATTTCTCTCTTTGGATCTCTAATACTAGTACTTTTAGAAGCACAATAAAGATTATTGTTTTAATAGAAATTGCCCTAAATAGGAGCAAAATCGTTTTGAAATTCCAAAATAGGAGTATCATGTTTTTTATTCTCTGAAAATGATTAATCTGTCAAGTTTGGAAGAAAATGTCATGTTTAAAGCTTAGTAATGCAAAGTTGGCAGAAATTTACTCCTATTTAGAGAATAAAAAACATGATAGTTCTATTTCGGAATTCCAAAACTTTTTCACTCCTATTTAAGGAATTCTCTCTTGTTTTAAAATGCATTAAGAATGTAAAAATATAGGCTTATATAAGGAGTATCTAAATAAAAATGATAAGAAGTTAAGAACAACAAGTATTGCATTTACCCGATCCAGAAAGAGGTTGTTCCCAAATGGTGTATGGAAAAGTGCTAGCTGAAACTCTTCCTATCAAACCATCACGACTAAGAAAATACCATCATAGCACACAAAAAATTTGTACACAAAATTACAATTAATTGTCTCATTTGAAACCAGATTATATTCTTTTATAAGTTTAAACTAATAATAACACGCAGAAGACGAAATCAAAATAATATTAAAGCACGACTAAAAAATGGACCTTTTACCTTATGAATCAAACCATCCTTGATTAGAGAGCAACTCAGCTTCTTATACAGCTCGTATAACGTTTCCACTTCATTCAACGTAACTGTAACATAAATTTTGAGATAAGAGGAAAAAATCAACATCCAAACTTACCTTAAAAACCACTTCGGAAGTAGATAACTAAATCTCTTGTATTTATGTTGGCAATAACTAAAACGTGGTGAAAGTAGAACGTGTGAATACCGTAAGATTCAACATGTTGCACTTATTTAAGAACGGGGGTAATATTACGGAGTAATATATAGTCTAGGGCTGATTCAGGAAATTGGGATATATCATGGGGGTGAAGATCCACTATATTAAGTGTAAACATTAGTGGAATGACCGAAGAGATCAGATCAGACCAAATCGGGTCAGACCACATCAAATTTAGATTGTTCTATAATACACATAGATTAGACATTTACCCGACCAGATCAAACCAGTTCAGACAAGACCAGACTAGAACAGAAAATTTCATTACGAGTAAAAAGTTATGGTACATCGAGATAGATTGGCTAGTCGAGAAATATCTTGTCCGAAAGGATGCATCTTCTGCTGCTGCTGATTGTGGGGAGGAGTATTCTCGCATCTGGGTTGGAAACAACCCGAGACTACGAACATCAATGCCTCGAATCCTGCGGCAATGATTGGGAGAAATGAAATGCATAATTTTTCTGATAACGTTAATGAGCTTGAATCCTCTTCCTCCCCATCCTGCATGCCATATAGCAGGCCCGACCAAGAAATGAGAACAATAAAATTGACTGAATTTATTGAAATTGGTGAAATTTTTGCTGAAGCAATAAATTTGCTAGATCAACTAATTAAATTATGGAAAGATTATGTATAAGATAGATTTAATTTATAACAAAGACAAAGAAATAGTACGAAGTATATGAAACTTAGCTAAAATGATCTTGTATGTAAATTTTAGGTACTTCAACTAGAATTGTAACTCATACTTTACTTGTTTTGATTATATGCAATTTCGCGTGCACATAAAATAAAAAGTTACCATTATGATAAAAAGGTTGATTAATAATAAGGATAGTTAAGTTGAAAATATGGAATATCAAAGTCGAGGCCCTAAAAAGGGACTAGAGAGTCGGGTTTTGAATTTACCATTGATGAATTATTGGTAGGAATGGAATTCATAATAAATATTTGCAGTATCTTTTCTCTCTTATACCATGTGCAGCTGCAATGAAAAAAAGGAGCATGTGAGGACCACCATGATATTAATTGATTGTTGTTGTTTGATTCTCTCCACAAATTCCTTATCGATCAAGTAAAGACATTTTAAAATTAAGAAAATTGAAAATAATAATCTCAATTATTACTGGTCCGCTATTAATAATTTCAACTATCGATTATTCCTGAGTGGTCCCAATTATAAGGACTATTTTCCAAAAATAGTTCCTAACCTGCTACAACCTGGTATAGCAGGTCAAATTTAAATTCGAACTATGCATAAGCTCTAAATAATCTCAATTATAGTTGATCTTCTTTTATTAATCCCAATTATCAACTCTCAATTTTAGAAAAATATAAAAATATGTTTATAAATTTTCAAATTAAATATTTTTAACTTGTAAAAATTATTATAAAAATTATACATATGTACCGAAGTTAAATAAAATAGTTTTAGTCATTTTTTATTTATTTTCACTATTTTTTTTTTCTTTTTTCCAATTTATTATTCCCAGTTGTGTTAACCAGCGGTTATGATTTGTTATTATTTTCCATTATTCAATTTTACATTTTCTGTTTTCAAAAAGTAATGAAAATGAAAATGTTAAATGAAAATTTTCCTTCGTTAAATTTTAGCGATTTGAGGCATAGGTTTTGGAGGTTTTGTCTGTTTTTAATGAAAATGTATTAATATTGTAATTCTAAATTATATAATGGCAATTGTAAAATATGTAGAAAAAATGTATGACTTAAAATTATAATATTAATACATTTTCATTAACATAGCCAAAACCTCCAAATCCTATATCCCAAATCACTAGAAGTCAACGATAAACTATATCATATAATTTATAGAATATGATAACATAAAATAAAGAAAATAGAAAGAAATAAAAAATACTAAAATTGAAAAAATAGAGAATTTTGATTTTTACAATTAAGATAGCATAACAATTTAATAAAATTAATTTTCATGAAAATATCTAAAATAAAGATTTAAATCGTAATTTTTTTAATCACAATATACCTTTTGAAAACACAAAATGTAAAATTGAATGAAGGAAAATAATACAAAATCATAACTTGTTAACAAAACTAGGAAAATAAATTGGAAAAAAGAAAAAAAATGAAATTTTAGTGAAAAAAAAATTACTAAAAATATTTTTATTTCACTTCGATACATTTGTAGAATTTTCATAATTATTTTCACATGCTTAAAAAAATTTAATTTGGCAATTTATAAAAACATTATTATATTTTTTAAAATTGAAAGTTGATAATTGGGATTAATAAAAAAAGATCGACTAAAGTTGGGATTATTTATAGCTTACGCATAGTTCGCATTTAAATTTGACCTGTTATACCAGGTTGTAGCAGGTTAGGGACTATTTTTGGAAAATGATCCCTACAGTTGAGACCACACATGAATAATCGATAATTAGGATTATTAGTAGCGAACCAATAATAGTTGGGATTATTATTTTCAATTTTTCCTTAAAATTATAGAATGAGATTATTATGTTAAAATGAATAATTTCAAACAAGTTTTGAAAATATTTGAAGTCCGGTGATGCTAAACCATATGCCTTGTCGGGTACTTAGGTTGAGGCGTGGGGGGATATTGGGCGCCTCAAATAGGGACGGAGCCACATACAAGCTAGAGTGTACTGATGATCAGTTGACATCACTCAAATATTTTGGTAGTTTTGTATATAAAGGTATATTTTTCAAAAATTAATTTAACACCACCCCTATAAACGGAATGAAGGTCAAATTATAAATATATACTCCATCAGTTCCTTACAATTTTGACAACTTTATTTTTTTTGAATGTCTCACTAATTTTATCACTTTTCCTTTTAAGTAAGGAATTTATGGTTCAAATTAATTTTAACTCCTTTTAAGGAACTACATTAAAAACTTTTGTTATAGTAACTAATGTCAATTATTTACACTTAAGTGATCATGACACTATACTATACTCCCTCCATCCCAATTTACTTAATCATCTTTGACTTTTTCAATCAAATGTGGTAAACTTTGATCAATTATTTAAACTAATATATTTATGCAAAATTTAATAATTTTATACGTTTGTGATGGTATTCTTAACAAAGAACATTTTCATTTCATTTTCATATTATTAATACTTTTCTATATAAATATATAATCGGTCAAAGTTAGAAGTCAAGTTTGGCTAACTAAAATGGGACGGAGGGAGTACTGCATAGTACATAACTTTTGGTGATATTCGTGCTAGTGATAATTGATACTACCTCAGTCCCACTAACATTGAGACATGAAAAGAATGTGTGATTATTAAGAAATGTAATTTTATACTAGTATAATTTAGTATGAGACAATTTTAGTGGGATGGACAAAAAGGAAAGATGTAACAACTTTAGCGAGACACATAGAGATCATGTCAAGTTATTTTCTCTATTTTAAAATTGTGTCATACCAGTCGTCTTTAGAGCTCGTTTGATGACTTTGTTTTTATCTTATCAAGCTTATTAGCTAATTTTTTCATCAAACACGTAACTTTAAATTTCACCTGCTAAATTGTGTGATATTAAGAAAAAGTAAAAGTCGAAGTTACTTTTTGGGTTGTATTGAGTGAAGTTATCGTAGATATCATTTTAGCTAGTTTTTCTTATAATTTTTCTTTATTTTATTAATAAAATATATTTTAAATATAAATTTTTCATAAATCAGAAAAATCAAAAAAATTCGACCGCTTCGATGAGAACTTTATAGATGAGAACTTTATAAATTTCACCGGAATCAGCCAATACATCCCATTTAGGAATTACCAAAAAAAAGTCTTAGTTTAAAAAGTTGACACGAATCCCTGGTTCCATGCCTGACTTCAAAGTTGTGTTCTTTCTGCAGTGTTTTATAGTCATATACTGTATCCTGTAAAACGCATAAAGTAATTAACTCTGATCACTCACATGTCTTTGGACGGAGAGAAAGTCGAATGTTTAATTTTAGTGTCAAAGTGGTCGAGTAATGACGCACATCCAGCCCAAAATGAATCCAGCCCACTCTATTTAGCCCGATTCAAATCCTCCTCTGCAATTTGCGTTTCTTGCCTGCCCTCCTCCTTCCGACTGGGCGACGGCGAAACCGGCTGGTGAGGCTGAGATGGTCCAAGCTCAACCGCGTCGGGAAGTCGAGGCGATATTTGTGACGGCCGGCGACGTTGCAGCATAATCAGACCAGCTGGTGATCTACTGATCTGATTGCGACCGACAGTTCCATTTTCTGATGAAGATATATATGCAATGTATCTGGCTCATGTGTTTAATGTGGTCCCACGTATGGACTTCCAATGATCTATTGGCATACTCAATCTCTTTCAGGAACTAGAGCAATCCACCTTCATAGTTGGATTTTTAATAGAAAAAATTTAGTGTACACAAAACGTGAACACCTTTGATATACTCTACTGTGTATGTAAAATATGCACAAAATGTGTACATCTCTTAGCTATCAAACGTGAACACCTTTGATATACTCTATTGTGTATGTAAAACATACAAAGATAACTTGGTTAAAAAAGATAACAATTGTTTGCGTGCACAAGAAAGAGTGCCAAGTGTGTACACCAAATAAAGTTGTTTTAATATTCAGTGACACTTACCATCAAATTATTGTGGCCCAGTTTATTTTGATATAATTTCACCCTCTAAACTGTTGGAAAAATGTGTTAAAAATTGCATTAAATGGTTATTTTGGGGCAATTATTTGAGTGGGGTCCACTTCCGATTTGGGTCGGGTCAAAGTGGTTTCGGATTGTCCTTGTTAAGGGCTACAATTCGATATGTGGTACACTCAAAACGGATAACGGGTGAATGAGAAATTTATTCTCGAAGTTCACTCGTTGAAATGGAAAAACTGGGAAAATGATGGGTTTCTAGTGTGTTTTATCCCACACCGAAAAACTCAAGGGATTTTCACTCCCTTATAAAGGGAAGCCTCTTTTAAGGAGTTAAGATTCCTAAGGGTAAAGGCTATCTCTTACGCGCAGGGGGGGTGCCGATCAAATCCCGAAACGGAGAAGAAAAACCGCGACTCGTGTGCGCGGGCGACCTGCGGACACGAATGTCGTCCGAAAACCTATCATTCAAAGATACGGTCTAATTTTGTTTCTTCCCGTAAAATTTTGCTGCTCCAAGTCGTTACAGCCATTAAATGTCCAACGTTCTTGTCTTTTAATGCAGCGTTAAATGGACAGTTTATGGATGCTTCAATGCCCAACGGACTGGTCATTGATGCCCAACGTTCAGGTCCATTTAACACACAAAAAATCCTCACGAATTGACTGGCAGGTGCTTTGCAACAAACACACGGTTTGACACAACGCACAATACTTTCCTCACGAATTTCTTGAGCTAAAAACACCTACAGCTACTCTTCAAAATTCCTTCTGTGTTCATACTTGGTTCTCGTTCGCTGCAACTCTTGTTTGTGTGCTCAAACATTAGTTCGTAGTCATCGTATCCTGGGAAACGATTGTTGCAACGCTCCTAGCACCGTGGGAGGCAACAAATACGTTTTAAGGAAATCGTGCGTAGCATGAGCTTTGACTAATTCTGCTTCATCTCCTTTCTTGTTTTTCTCTAGTCATTTTATTTAATTAATTTATTTTAATTAATTATCTTTATTTTCCGAAACACACCCTACAATCTTAAAACGTATTTGTTGAGCTTGTATCATACGGATACAATCTTAAATCGTATTTGCTAATTGTTCTACTGTGGTAAACAATCTTAAATCGTAGTTTGCCACTTTGGTGAACGAACTTATTTTTTTTGTGTTCTCGGAAAACGTTAAAGAACGAAAATGACTTCTCAAGAAAATGAGATTGGTGTTGGACAGAATGTTCTGAACGACAATCACTCTGAAAGCGGAGCACCGGTGAACAATAGTTCACAACGCGGTGCATCTGCTTTGGCCAACCAAAGGGCTATCCCTATGGTGACCGTGTCAAGCAACTCTGTGGAGAAACCCGAAAAATTTAACGGGTTAAACTTCAAGAGGTGGCAGCAAAAGATGCTATTCTATCTCACTACTCTCGGTCTTGCAAGGTTCTTGACCGAAGATGCGCCGGTAGCAACCGGGGGTGAGGTGGATGCGCAATCTTTCAACGCGGTTGAAGCTTGGAAGCATTCTGACTTCCTTTGCCGAAACTATGTGTTGAACGGGCTGCATGATGCTTTGTACGACGTATATAGCAAACTAGCTACGGCTAAGGAGCTATGGAATGCTTTGCACCACAAATATAAAAGCGAGGATGCCGGCACAAAGAAATTTGTTGTTGGTCGATTCCTTGATTTTAAAATGGTGGATTCGAAGACGGTCTTGAGTCAAGTTGAGGAAATGCAAATGATCTTCAATGAAATTCGAGATGAAGGAATGACAGTTAGTGAGTCTTTCCAAGTGACATCAATTATCCATTTATTGCCGCCGGCTTGGAAGGAGTTCAAGAACTACCTTAAGCATAAGCGAAAGGAAATGAACTTGGAGTAATTGATCCTCCGTCTGCGGATTGAAGAGGATAACCGGAAGAACGATGGGAAACTCCCAATTGTTCATGGCGCCAAGGCCAATGTGGTGGAGCATGTAAAAGGCTCCAAAAATAAAAAATAATGGGAAGAGCAAGCTCGGTCCCAAGGGAGGCGTTTCCAAGACGAAGTTCAATGGAAAATGCTTCAATTGCAACAAGAATGGACACAAGTCCTCGGATTACAAGGCACCACGGAAGAAGAAAGACTCCCAAGTCAATTTGGTGCAAGGTGGGCAAAAGGATGAAGACATCATCCTAACGGCTGTGGTTACGGAAGTCAACCTCGTTGGATCCAATTCCAAGGAGTGGTTTGTGGACACCGGTGCAACCCGGCACATTTGCTCGAACCGGGAGTTATTCACAACTTTTGAGCCATCAAATGGTGAGAAAGTGTGGATGGGTAACTCGGCTCATTCCGCGGTTGAAGGCGTGGGCAAGGTGGTCCTGAAGATGACTTCGGACAAAGAGCTGACTCTCAACCAAGTGCTGTTTGTTCCGGAAATACGCAAAAACCTGATTTCCGGTTCGTTGTTGAACAAACATGGCTTCCGCATGGTCTTTGAGTCGGACAAACTAGTTTTTTCTAAGTCGGGAATGTATGTGGGCAAGGGGTATGCATGTGACGGGCTGTTTAAGCTCAATGTAACGACTATTATTATTAATAATAATAAAATCTCTTCTGCTTACTTGCTTGAGTCTTCCAATGTGTGGCATGGTAGACTAGGACATGTTAATTTTAATTCTATACGTAGATTAATTAACATGGAGCACATTCCTAAATTCACAATTGATGTGAAGCACAAATGTGAAGTTTGTGTAGAGGCAAAACTAACGAAAACGTCTTTCAAATCGGTTGAAAGAAAAACGGAACCACTTGAATTAATTCATAGTGACGTTTGTGATTTTAAATCAATACAAACACATGGCGGTAATAAATATTTTATTACCTTTATCGATGATAGCACTCGCTATAGCTACGTCTATTTATTAAAATATAAACACGAAGCAATCGATAAATTCATTCTTTATAAGAATGAAGTGGAAAACCAACTTAATCGACGGATTAAGACGGTTAGGAGTGATCGAGGTGGTGAGTATGAAGCACCAATTGGTGACTTTTGCGCTAATGTGGGTATAGTACACGAACGTACCGCACCCTATTCACCTCAATCAAACGGTGTTGCCGAACGAAAGAATCGCACATTGAAAGATATGATGAACGCGATGCTAGTAAGTTCGGGCTTGCCACAAAATATGTGGGACGAAGCAATCTTGACAAGCAATTACCTTTTAAATAAGGTTCCCCGGAAATATATGATAAAACTCTGTACGAGTTGTGGAAAGGCAGACAGCCTTCCTATCAATATTTAAAAGTGTGGGGGTGTCTTGCTAAGGTGCTTGTACCAACACCTGAGAAAATAAAAATAGGTCCAAAAACGGTGGATTGTATTTTTATTGGATATGCACAAAATAGTAGTGCGTATCGGTTTTTAGTGTACGATTCGAATAATCCGGATGTACATAAAAACACAATAATTGAATCAAGGAATGCTTCATTCATTGAAGATGTTTTTCCATGCAAGTCCAACGAAGGGCCTAGCACGTCAAAACGAACATTTGACGTAGCTATGGAAAATACTAGCGAGGGCTCCGGAGAAGAACCCGAACCCAGACGTAGCAAACGTGCTAGAATTGAAAAATCCTTCGGACCGGATTTTCTCACCTACCTGGTAGAATTTGACTCGGATATTCTAACATGTATGGTAGAAAATGAACCGGATTTTCTAACATGTTTAGTAGAAAATGAACCACGGACTTATATGGAAGCCGTGACGTCTACTGAAGGTCCTATGTGGAAAGAAGCCATCAAAAGTGAGGTGGATTCTACCCTTAAAAATCACACATGGGAATTGGTTGATCTTCCTCCGAGAAATAACCTTTGGGATCCAAGTGGATTTTTAAACGGAAAATGAAACCTGACAGTTCCATCGATAAGTACAAGGCCAAACTTGTAATCAAGGGATACAAGCAACATGAGGGCCATGATTACTTTGACACATATTCTCCTGTGACGAGAATAAATTCCATTAGGATGATACTAGCAATTGCCGCATTGCGGAAATTGGAAGTTCATCAAATGGACGTAAAAACCGCTTTTCTAAATGGCGATATAGACGAAGAAATCTATATGGAACAGCCCGAAGGCTTTCGTGTTCCAGGCCAAGAAAGGAAAGTGTGTAAATTAATCAAATCATTGTATGGATTGAAACAAGCCCCTAAACAGTGGCACGAAAAGTTCGATCATGCAATGTTAATTAATGGGTTTAAAATAAACGAAAGTGACAAATGCGTCTATGTGAAGAGCACGATAGACGGCTATGTCATTTTATGTTTATACGTGGATGATATACTCATCGTGGGTAGCAATAATCTAATGATTAATTCTACCAAAAGCATGTTAAATTCCAAATTTGACATGAAGGATATGGGGCAGGCCGATTTAATCCTTGGGATTAAAATAATTAGAGGACCTGACGGTCTTACGCTAAGCCAATCCCATTACGTTGATAAAATCCTTACGAAATTTAATAAGGATGATTATCAAGAGGCAAGGACTCCATTAGATAAAAACGTACAACTTACCAAAAATCGTGGAGAGTGTATTTCTCAAGTAGAATACGCTAGGATTATTGGAAGCTTGATGTATCTAATGAGTTGTACCAGGCCTGATATTGCCTTTGTGGTTAGTAAGCTAAGTAGATATACTAGCAACCCCGGTGATGAACACTGGAAGGCAATAATAAGGATTTTGAGGTATTTACGTAAAACCCAAAATCTTGGACTGCACTATGGAAGATATCCAGCTGTACTTGAAGGGTATAGCGACGCTAGTTGCATATCCGACATTAAGGACTCAAAGTCCACAAGTGGATATGTTTTCACTTTAGGAGGTGCAGCCGTGTCATGGAAATCTTCAAAACAAACGTTAATAGCTAGATCCACGATGGAATCTGAGCTAATAGCCTTGGATAAGTGCACTGAAGAGGCTGAATGGCTACGCCATTTTCTCGAGGATATTCCAAGTTGGGAGAAGCCTGTCCCTCCAAT